GGTAGCTACACGTCAATACCCAGGAACAAGGGCAGGTGATGGGGGGAGGGAGTGCGGTCAACAACCTCCTAAGGAGTCCTTGCAGCCTCTTCTCAGACCAACAGCAGCAGAAACCCACACTGCAGGGCTCCCACCTAGGACTGAGTTACCTGTAAGTATATGTAAATCTCATCTCCTTGGAAAACTGCTAGATAATAACACTGCCAACGTGCAGACCCCAGGCACTCAGATCCCTGCCAGTGTACCTCTGGGATGTGCAAGCCGAAACATGTGTGCACGTCTGAGCGGCTGAACCAACATGTATCCGTAAACATTATGAATAATACTCGCGAGAATGTACGGCTTTCTCCTAAGTAGCGCTTGAAGCACTTTGCCTAAATCAAATGACTTTCGTATCACTCGCGTGCTGAAAGTTGGAGCTTCATGCCCAAAGACTGGGCGGAAGGGGTGACCGCCCTGGACCCCTGCCCGACTTCCCGTTAGGCCGAGCCGCCATCCCGAAAGGGGATAGTGTTCAAGCCAGCTTCCTGGAGACACACCTGCGCCTGCACACACCCACCACGGTCGCGTCACCAGGGCCGCGGACACCCGGGCGAGGACCAAAGTCTGGAGGGAATTCCCTCAGCCACGGAGCGATGGGAAAGCGGGACCCGGGTGAATTTTGAAAAATAGAAGAGAACCGGGGTTGAGTGGACACAAAGGGAAGGGGTCACCGCTACTCACCCAGCCCTCGAAGGTGTCCGAGGCGCCGGTCGTGCGCAGCAGCTCCTGGAACTGCAGGGTGCAGTTGGCCACGAAGTGGTCGTAGCCCAGGGGCGTCTCGTGGAAGACGGCCAACTCGAGGTGACCGCCGTCGGTGACGTTGGCGCAAAACTCCTCATTGTACGTGGGTTTGTTGGTCTTCTGCTTGGTGCTGGTCTGGCCCACGCGCACCTGGTCCACGCTCACCGTCAGGTAGGGGTCCAGCAGCTGGTGGCCCTTCTTGAAGAGCGAGTGGCGCAGGGACCAGCGGGTGGGCTGCAGCCCCACCGCCTCGCCGATGCGGACCCTCAAATAGCCATTGAACTTCATGGTTCCAGACGACATGCCGGCGCCGCTGCCCCAGCCCCGGGGGGCGGCACTGGTTCGCAGCCGGAGAGCGGGGCGTCCGGGCTCAGGCCAGCCCTCGGGGCAGCTGCAGGAGCCCGGGCAGCTCTGGGGAAAGGCAGCGCCCAAGCGCCCCTCGACCGGCCATTCTGCCTCCTCCGTGGGACTTTTCCCTCCCCTCCTTCCCTCCCTCCCGAGGTGGAAAGGAGGGGAGCCCGCTGCCGAGCCCTCAGCGGGCAGGGGAAGCCCGGCCGTCCCTTCCGAGCGCGCGGCGCTTCCCGGGGGCTCGCGCGGGACTCGCCCCTTCTCCAGGGCCAGGCAGCTCCTCTCTCCGGAGAGCCGGAGCTACCCGTCCGGTGAGCTCCAGCCCCAAGCGTCTCTTCCCCCGCCTCCTCCTGCTTCTCCTCCTGCCCCCGCCTCCGCAGGCTCACGCTCTCCCCCACTCGGCGAACTTCAAACCAGGAAGCAGCTGCCGCCGCCTCATCCCAGGCGAGAACCTCGCGCCGCCAGGTTCCAAGTTCACAGAACCCCTGCGCCCGCTCCCGCGCCCTCCGGACCCCGGGGGAGTGGCGCGCAGCCCGCGCCCGGGCCCTGCGGGGGGTGGATCCCCGCGCACGCCCTCGTGGAGCCCAGTGTCCGCTTGCGCCGCCCTGCGCGCCCTCCTTGTAGCGCCGGGTTTGGCCGTGCGCTGCGGGTTAGGGGCCACCCCGGGAGCAAGCCAAAAAGGAAAGGGTTCGTGGCTCGGCATCAGCAAACACCTGGGGCGTAGGAGACTGGACTGGGGAGGGATGGAAGGTTGGGAGGATGCGGAGGAGGCGCTCCAGCTAGGAACCCGTGCGTTGACGAGTCGCCCGCCCCTCTCTCCCAGCCTCCCCGGTGGGCTAGTGACCCTGCAGGACTGTCCCCAAGAGGCCCTGGCCGGAGGTGGGCACACGGCTGGGAGATTCTTTTTCCTAATCTACAGGGATGGCTCATCCCAGGGTCAGTTTGAATGCATCCTGTTTGTGCGCCTTTCCTACAGAGGCTAATTACACAGTTGTGTGTATGTGTGTGTTTTAATAGGGCAGTAGTAATGGTGGAAATCCTGTTCACCTCCTTCCTCGGAAGGTGTGCCTGGTTGCACAAAGAGCAGGAAAGGTCGGTTCTTCTGGAGACAGACATGGCCAAGAGGTAGTAAGTCTCTTCCCCTGCTGGTGGTTCCTGATCCACCCAGCCCTGCACAGCAAGGGCAGAAAATGTTCACACACACACACACACACACACACACACAGGCTGTCCCCAACACACACGCGGAAGAAATCGCCTCTTCTACGAAGACTCCAGCTTGTTGTATTTGCAGTCAGAGAGGGCAGCCTTCCGATGCTTCCCACCCCGTGGTCCCTGCAGATTTTGTCTCCTGGGTGGGCCTTGTGGACTACTCTGCTATGCAGCAAAGCGCGCTTCCCGAGGGCCAGCCATAACCATTTTGTTTCCCATAAAGCCTAGGCCACTCTTAAGATACTTGGTGACATTCTGTCTTGCCACACTGGCTCCCTTGGAGCTGGTTCGGCTTTCTTTCATTCCTTCCTTTCTTCCTTCCTTCGCTCCTTTCTTTCTTTCTCTTTATGTTTTAGAGACTGCGTTTTACTTTGTCACCCAGGCTGCAGTACAGTGGTGCGATCATGGCTCACTATAACCTCCAGCTCCTAGCCTTACGTGATCCTCCAGCCCCCACCTCCTAAAGCGTTAAGATTAAAGGCATAAGCCCCCGTACATGGCCCCAGCTTCATCTTTCTAGCCCCCTCCTCTAAGGCCCTGTTCAGAGCTTTCTAATTGAGTAGGTTCTCAACGATTTTACATGAGTGCAATGAGGCCTCACCTGTTAATAACTGTACTATACAGAATGAAAAAAAATAAGGACAATGGGCCCGGGGGAGAGGGCCTGTCTTAAAAACACCAAAGCTTCCGTAGAGAACAAGGCAGAGATGCAACATGTCATTCTAATGACACCTTAGCTTTAGGCAGGATTTGTAAAGCATGCTCCCAAATGTCCAGGGGGCTTCTGTCTGGCTTTAGTGCTCCAGGGGAAGAGGTCACATCTACCATGTGGGTCAACTCTGTCACCCTTTTCTCCAAAGAGGAAAGGCTCTAGCTTTAAGAGCCACTAAAGGATTTGCTGCTGTTGGACTTTGGCGCTAAAAGAAAACAGTCCCCGTAAAGAATCATGGTGTGTAGACTTTAAAAGATTTTTTTTAATTGAAGTTAAAATTTAAAAAAAGAAAACAATCCCCAAATGGCAGGCGGCCACACAGCTGCTCTGGGACTGGGATGTGAGGACACCAGACACTCCATCTTTACCCTATCAGTCAGTACCTACCAGGCACTGGGACTGGCAATGGTGACAGAGCAGTGGGTCAAACAGCAATAGTGCCGGCCCTCCTGGGGCTTACAGTCCCACAAGGAGAAAAAACAACAAATTCAAGACGATGTATGTGGAGGGTGCAGTGAAGGAAAAGCCCACGATGCCAAGGGGTGATGCATTATAACTGGATGGGTGGTCAGGGAAGGGTTCTTTGAAGAAGCAAATAGCAGAAAGATCAGCTCATTCAGAGCTCCCAAGAAAACAGATGGTTTGGCCTGTTTGGGGACAGAGAGAACTCTATGTGCCTGGAGCTGAGGAAGGTGAGGGGGAGAGTGGCTGAAATGAGTTTGCAAATGTGGTCACAATGACCAGACTGGTAGATCATAGGAAAGTCTTTGGAGATTATCTGTGGGCAACTGGGTGCCTCTGAAGGCTGTTAAGCAGAGCCAGGGCAAGATGAGATTTGTGTTTTAAATCTCATGGGGAGGAGCAAGGTGGCTCACACCTATAAAGCCAACACCTTGGGAGGACAAGGCAGGAGTACTGCTTGAGCCCAGGAGTTCGAGACCAGCCTGGGCAACATGGCAAGACTGTCTCTACAAAAAATAAAAACTAAAAAAATTAGCTGGATGTGGTAGAACATGCCTGTAGTCCCATTATATTTTTTTAAATAAAATCAAATAGCTCTCTGGGAAGTGGACTAGAAGAAACAGCGTGAGTGTGGGGAGAGCAATTATGAGGCCGGTGCCAAAGTCCAGAGGTGAGAAGATGGTGGCTAAGACTCAGGAGGCGGTGATGGAGATGAAGATAAGTAGATGAATTCAAGAAGTGTTTTGGAAGTAGAATTGATAGGTCTTGGTGACAGATTGAAGGGAATGAGGAAGAGGACAGTATTCTGACTTGCAGAATCTGGCTTGAGCAACTGTGTGGACTGGGGAGCTATTAGAGAATTAAGAAACAGGGCATGAGCCAAGTGCGATGGCTCACCTGTAATCCCAGCACTTTGGGAGGACAAGGTGGGGGGGATGGCTTAAGCCCAGGAGTTTTTTTTTTTTTTTTTTTTTTGAGACGGAGTTTCGCTCTTGTTACCCAGGCTGGAGTGCAATGGCCCAATCTCGGCTCACCACAACCTCCGCCTCCTGGGTTCAGGCAATTCTCCTGCCTCAGCCTCCTGAGTAGCTGGGACTACAGGCACGCACCACCATGCCCAGCTAATTTTTTGTATTTTTAGTAGAGACGGGGTTTCACCATGTTGACCAGGATGGTCTTGATCTCTTGACCTCGTGATCCACCTGCCTCGGCCTCCTAAAGTGCTGGGATTACAGGCTTGAGCCACCGCGCCCGGCAAGCCCAGGAGTTTTAAGACCAGCCTGCGCAACATAGGTAGACGCTCATCTTTACAAAAAAAAAAAATTAAGTTAGCCAGGGCACGCACCTATGGTCCCAGGGAAACCAAGGCAGGAGGATCACTTGAACCTAAAGATTAGCCTGGGCAACATAGTGAGGCCTTGTCTCTAGAGAAAAAATTTAAAATTTGCCAGGTGTGGTGGCAAGTGCCTGTAGTCCCAGCTACTCAGGAGCTGAAGCAGGAGGATCACTTGAGCCTGGGAGGTTGAGGCTGTAAGTGACCCATCATCATGTTACTACATTCCAGCCTGGGTGACAGTGAGATGCTGTCTTTAAAAAAGAGATAAACATGGCAAGAGGAGATTGGGGCAGGGATGAAGAGTTGGGAATGGGAGGGGAGGATGAAGAGTTCAATTCAAAACCTGTCAAGTTTGATATATCTTGATACATTTAAGCAGAAATCTGAAGTGGGGAATTGACTATGTGGTTGTGACACTCAGAGGGCAGTCTCTTAGCTAAAGACAAATTTGGGAACCATCAGTATACAGATAGTAATTGAAGCTAGAATCGTGGATCAGACTCTGTTGTGGGAAGACAGGAAGAAAATGGAACTTGAGAAGAGGATCAAGGACAGAGCCCTCCAGCAACTCCCAACATTTGTGGGTGGAGGAGAAGCAGGCAAGCAGGTTGAGAGGCAGCAGCCAGGGAGGTAAGAGAAAAGCAGCAGTCAGGAAGATGTGGTGTCCAGGTATTATGGAAACGAACCAAAACATTTTCAAGCAGGAAGGAATCGTCAGCTAGGTCAAATGACGCCAAGAGTAGGCAAGGACTAAAGAATGCCACATGGGGTAGGCGCCGTGGCTCACACCTATAGTCCCAGCACTTTGGGAGATTGAGGCAAGAGGATCACTTGAGCCCAGGAGTACAAGACCAGCCTGGGCAACAAAGTGAGACCCCGTATCTACAAAATATAAAAATAAATTTAAAAAAAAGAATACCATGTGGACAGTCCTTAGTAGTCTTTCAACAGTTTCAGTAGGGGGTGTGAGTGGAAGCCTGTTGGGTAGGTTGAGGTGAAAAGGATGTGAGAGAGTGAATGTAGACACCATTTCAAGAGATTTGGCTGGAATGGAAATAGAGTGAGAACTGAGGAAGAAGATGGAATCACTAGAAAAAGGGGCTTGTTTAGAATGAGTAAGCAACGCTGAGGAAAGAGATCATAGGGTTCTGAGATTGCAGGAGAGAATAACATCCAAGACATCGCAAGAGCATGGGCTTTAGTTAAAAAGATGCAGCTATGTTGTGGCTCTCAGCTTGCTGCCCAACATTGCCTGATTGAAGTCACACATTCGATGTGAAGTATTTAAACCCGAAAAGGCTACAGGCAAAACGCAAGCTACCATGGTATTTATCAAGCTACTTTCTCACTCTCTCGCTCGAGTACTTTTTCTGTCCTTCCTTCCCCCTCTCATCACCTGTTGGTTTTGCTCCCCTCTCCCTGTTCCTCATTTTCTCTTCCTGCAACTGGCTTCCTAAATACAGCCAGGGAAGATGGTCGTCAACAGCCCCAACTTCCCACATTCCCAGCTTAATAGCCCCAGCTGAACACGGATCTTTCCAATCAGCATCTCAAAATTAATCTCCAGGAAAACTCTGATTATCTCCATCCTATGTTATGTGACATGAGGTCAGGCAGGAAGCCACACATGGTACAGGCTCTTTGTAAGAAGGAACTGTTTGCCAATATCAATTTCTCCTATGTAACAACTTTTATCCAGAGCTAGTTCTGACCCTGAAAGCGGGGGAGGAAGAGGTTTCCTCTCTCTACACAGGTGGGATCACCCTGATTGCTAGTGCCCTGTATGTGATACATTACAGCAACTATTGCAGTACAGATATAGCTGTATTATAGGTCCTTTGTAGACTAGAGGGTGTTATTCCATGATCACTGTTACTGTTTCTTGTCTTAACAGTATAACTTTAGACTTCTCTGTATATAATTCCTAATACATTATCGAAATGCTTTTTAAATTAATTGGTTGCTTGATTGAATCACTGCCATTTTTAAAATTTCTTAAGGAACAATTTCATATAACTCCAATTCCATTTAATAGAATTAGAGAATTTAGAGAATAACACAGCCAGGTCAAATGTGACCCCATATTACTGTAAAATGGCATAGGCTTTGAAGGGCAATTTGACAGTGTACATCAAAAGCTTCAAAGTAAAATGAGTTCTGTGCTTGAAGAACCAGTTTAGCCATAGTGGAATGGCTGAGTAAATTACAGAATAGCGACTTAATGGAATATTATGTAATTACTAAAATTATACATGATAAACAACATAGAAAAAAACAGTAAATAACATTTGAAAACTAGAGTAAGAAATATAAATATGCTATGAAGTACAAAAAATATGTATACCAAAGGACAAAGAAAGGAATGCAACACAGGTAAATGAAAACAATTTTTAGAGCATTGTACAAATAATAAATGTACTTACTTTAAAGGACTCTGAAGATAAAATAATTCACATAAGGCATTTAATACCTTGCCAGGCACGTGTTACGCTTCAGCTGTTACCTTGGCTTCTATATTATAATTTTCTGAGCATCCACCTGAAGGCACTTGACAAACATTATTCATTTGATCCTCATGACAACCAAATGAAGTGTTGTCATTATCTCTATTTCACAAATAAGGAAACCGAGGGTTGAAAGGTTAAGTGAATTGGATTGCATAGCTAATACCGAGGGTTGAAAGGTTAAGTGAATTGGATCACATAGCTAATACATGGTAGAGCTGAGATTTGACCAGTTTTTGGAAAGACACATATGTAAGCTCCATCCCAGCATGATTCTAATGCATAGTAGGATTGAAAACTACCACTATTACATACTGAGTACGAAGGGGAAGAAGATTGAGACTCTCAGCAAGCAGGAGATAGTGGTTTGCAGGGCAGGGGTCCTAGCAGTGCCTGTCTATATCCATTTCTGAGTATGCAAAGGTACATCTAAATTAGTGGGGCCCCAATGTCCTCCTCATGGGACAAAAAGAACTGAAAAGGTAAGAGATTTCAAAGATATAGTAACATTTCTCAGCATGAAAGAAAGACATTGGTCTCATATTGAAAATGATGCAGTGTTTAGGCAGAATGAGTAAAGAAAGACCCATAACTAGACACATCATTGTGAGGTTTCTGGACTCCTTGATGGATAAAGGAAAGATCTTCAATGACTTGGAGGGAGAAACAGGCAAAGGGAGGGTGGGGTGTTACAGAGGGATGAGATCAGAGAGTGAGGACTTCAGTCAGCCAAAGGGTCCTGATAGCCAGTCTGTTAGGGTGTCAGTGGCTGCACAGCTCATGATGAGAGAGAGAATAAAGGGAAGGAAGCCCAAAGGGGAAAAGTCCTAAGAAGGCAGGCAGATCCAGGAGGCAGGCAGTTCTTCTCGCCCTTCCTTGGGTTTCCCCAAAAGAAGGGCCTTCAATTACTATTTGCCTCAAAAGCCCACTTAAGTAAGACAGATTCCAGGGATTGAGATCAGAACAGAAAAGCACAAATAAAAGTAATCCTCCCATAAAAAGCAATCAAGTTAGTAACACTTTGTACTGACAACTGCCCAGACAGCCCGGTGATCAAGAGCAATGACTTCATAAAACATTTCTGCCACTGCTTTCTAACAGCAAAATCTAGTGAGGTTAAATACTTTATGTATGTAAACAGAACAAATACAGATCTGTCCTATGGTTAATTTATTTTTTGGACGTCTCATCTACTTGAATTTACCCATATTAGAATAGTTTCATTTGAAATCCTTTATATTACCTAAGTGCCTTTCTAGCAATAGTGTGGAACCCTGGAAAACTTTGCTGCCATTCTATTAAACAGATCCACAATAGCCCACAGTTATAGTTTTGTAGATTCATATACAATTAAAAAAATTCATATACAATGAAAAAGACTTCATGCACAATAAAAAACGAGATAAATTATTTAGGGGAGCCAAATCTAACTACATTTAGTCACTGCAAACATTTCTTTGTGTCTACTTCTAACATGTAAAACTAGCATGTCACCAAATTAAGCAAAAATATCTTCCCAAACTAAAGTAATTTAAGCCTGGGAAACATGGTGAGAACTTGTCTCTACAAGAAATTTTAAAAATTAGCTGGGCATGGTGGTGCATGCCTATGGTCCCAGCTACTCAGAAGGCTAAAACAGAAGGATTGTGATGTGGTTTGGCTGTGTCCCCACCCAAATCTCATCTTGAATTCCCACATGTTGTAGGAGGGACCCAGTGGGAGGTGGTTGAATCATGGGGACAGGTCTTTCCCATGCTGTTCTCATGATAGTGAGAGGGTCTCATGTGATCTCATGGTTATAGAGGGGGGATTTTCCCTGCACAAGCTCTCTTTGCCTGCCACCATCCATGTAAGATGTGACTTGTTTATCCTTGCCTTCCACCATGATTGTGAGGCCTCCTCAGCCACATAGAACTGTCAGTAAAATTAAACCTCTTTCTTTCATAAATTGCCCAGTCTCCGGTATGTCTTTATCAGCAGCATGAGAATAGACTAATACAGATTGTTTGAGCCTAGGAGGTTGAGGCTGATCCACGACCATGATTACACTACTGCATTCCATCCTGGGTGACAGAGCAAGACTCTGTCTCAAAATAAAATGATTTAAAATTCTTTAATTCTAAATGCAGAACGTACTATTTTTTTGACATTTTAAAAAAGACAGTGATAGAAGCATGTGTATATGGTTTAAAATAGTAATCATTTTTCTCTAAAGCTATAATTAATATAGCTAATGGTCAGGTTGTTCCATTAACTTTTCTCATTTGGTTCTGGTCCATTAACAAACCGAATAGTTATTAACAATAAGTCATAACCAAGTTATTAAACTGTATGGCTTGGGTAAGAAACCTGTGAAGGGAAAATGACTCAATAGCATGGTTCTCTTCACCCTTTACTGTGTTTTCTCTAGTTCTTGATGGTATTCTCTGGTATATTTGGTGTCCATCCAGTCAGTAATTGTGGAGAACTGTTGGGAAGGCATGACTGGTTTTGAAATGTGAAAAGATATGAGATTGGGAGGTGCCAGGGATGGAATGATATGGTTTGGCTTTGTGTCCCCACCCAAATCTCATCTTGAATTGTAATCCCCATGTGTTGAGGGAGAGAGGTGATTGGATAATGGGGGGCAGTTTCCTCCATGCTATCCTTGTGATAGTGAGTTCTCATGAGATCTGATGGTTTATAAGGGGCTCTTTCCCCTTTGCACTCTCTCTCTCTTGCCTGCCACCATGTAAGATGTGCCTGCTTCCCCTTCTCCCATGATTATAAGTTTCCTGAGGCGTCCTCAGCCATATGGAACTGTGAGTAAATTAAACCTCTTTTCTTTATAAATTTCCCAGTCTCAGACAGTTCTTTATAACAGTATGAAGATGTACTAATATAGTAGTCAACATAATTTTAGTTTAGAAGCCAGTAGGTAATAGCAAGGCAATTCAGATCTTCCATCCATGACCTTTTGGTGTGGCATGGGGAGTCAGATGGCCCAAATACTGGCATTTGACAATATTTGACAAATTCGGTGATTTTTCTGCACTCAAGTTTAAGAACTCTAGGTATAGAAGACAATAGCATTCAAAGACCTTGGTTTGGATCCTCCCAAAATTGATAGATGGCCTTGGACTAATCATAAAGTTGCACAGAATTAAATGAGAAACTGTATTTAAAGCACATTGCAAAGCCCTGCCACATTATATTAATGTTTTCAGTTCTTCCTCATCCTGCTGCTCACTTTCCCTTCCATTCGCCTCATCATTGCTGCCTGCCACAGATCCCCTTTCATTTGCCTCATCCCTTGCCCCCTGACACAGATCCATGACCATGCAGGGGGCTCAACCCTGCCACTTGCAGAGAACCTTCAAATCAGAGGTAATTGTTTTTGAGATAGGGTCTCACTCTTGTCACCCAGGTTGGAGTACACTGGCACGATCACAGCTCAATGTAGCCTCGACCTCCCAGGCTTAAGTTATCCTCCCACCTTATTTCCCAGATAGCTGAAACTACAGGCTTGCACCACCACACCCAGCTAATTTTGTATTTTTCTGTAGAGGCAGGGTCTCATTATGTTGCCCAGGCTGGTCTTGAACTCTTGATATCAGGTGATCCTCCCACCTTGGCCCCCCAAAGTGCTACGATTACAGGCATGAGACATGGTGCCTGGCTCAAAGGCAGAATTTTTGACACATTCTTTTAATCCAAATATAATCACTTAAACTGAGCTCTAAATATGCAGGAGGCTGGATGTGGTGGCTCATGCCTGTAATCCTGGCACTGTGGGAGGCTGAGGCAGGAGGATTACTTGAGGCCAGGAGTTCAAGACCAGCCTGGGCAACATAGTGAGACCCTGTCTCTACAAAAATAAAAATAAAAAATAGGCCCAGTGTGGTGGCACATGCCTGTAGTTCCAGCTCCTCAGGAGGCTGAGGTGGGAGGATCACTTGAGTCCAGCAGTTCAAGGTTGCAGTAAACCATGTTTGTACCTCTGCACCCAAGCCTGGGCAATGGACCAAGACTCTGTCTCAATAAATAAATAAATAAATAAATAAATAAAATACACACAGGTGCATACACACACACGTGGAGGAACACTTGAAAAATAACACAAGTAGCAAAAAAGACAAAAGTCCTCTGGTGAGTGTAACAAAAATAAAGGAAGATGATAAGCTCATGGGTACAATGGGTGTGATAATACAGAAACCACGTTGAGTACTAAGTTGAAACTTGGCCTTGATACAGGAGAAAGGAAGTCAACAAAGGAATTTTACACATTTCCCTGAGTTACTCATTTTAAGAGTCCAAGCAACTGAAATCAGGAAACACCTGTGCTTGTTAACATTAGTTAGGAAATGACTTTAAAAACTTGGACACAGTTTTAGATAACTGATGGCAGGCAGTGATATCATTCTAGCATCTATATTTCCATGTTAATGCACAAGCTGTGTTTCCTAGTTTTGGTCCATTTATGTAATAGCAATCAGAGACTCAATGCATTATATTTATGGGATAATTGTTACACATTTTAAACTTAAAATTGCCTGGGGCCAGACATAGTGGCTCATGCCTATAATCCCAGCACTCTGGGAGACAAAGCATGAGGATCACTTAAGCCAGGAGTTCAAGACAAGCCTGGGCAACGTAGTGAGGTCGCCATCTCTACAGAAAAAATTTAATGTCTGTGTCAAGTTTGTTTCCAGCATTTTCTTTGATGTCCCAGTGAAATTACAACCAGCAGAAAAAAATGTTATTTATTGTTATTGTTTGTATAATAGAAGTGGAGTCTTGCTATAATTTCCAGGCTGGTTTTGTACTCCTAGCCTCAGGTGATTTTCCTGCTCAGCTTCCCAAAATGCTGGGACTGCAGGCATGAGCCACTGCACCCAGCCCTGTTGTTTTTAAGGAAATTACAAGTTAAATCTTGTACCAGTGAACAAGGTTTGTATAATTTTATTGTCTTGAAATTTTATTGTATCTCATTTTAAAAAATAGAAGCATATTAGAATACACTTTGTTCTATACTCAAATTTTGTGTTAAACTCTGTAAAAATGTCTTTTCAATGTTTGGTAAAAGCAATGAGTCTTACAGATATATATTTCATATTAATTATTAATCATTATAATTTAGAAATGTTAATTATAATCACTTAAAGGAACTTCAATAAACTAATGGTTATTGAGGTTAGATTAAGAATACCTATAATCATGAAGAGTAGTGGCCTGATACAGTAATAAAAGACAGATCTTTAAATTTAAAAAGGAAAAATGTGATTATACATTTTATAGTTGTAGACAACACACCAAAACATACATACGAGGACATCCACTTCTGGCCATAGATAGTAGCTAATGCCAGACACATCCTCCCACTAGAAACACCTAGAAATATCCGAGATAACTGATTCCAGGCATTTAACAACAAACATTGCAGGGCAGTGATCCTTGAGAGAAAGGAAACACAAAGTGATCTGCACATCCTCTTCAACTTTCTGTCTGGGGACACCAGCTACACTAAAAGGAAGTGGAATCCAAGGAAATATGGAAGTCTTGCTGAGCTGAAGAGATCTAGATAAAAGTTTCGAGTGGTTGTCATCTCTGAAATTTGTAAGACAGGATACCAGAAAGAAAGGTGTGTGCAGAAGAAGAGAACAAAGAAGATTTCACAGGGGTTCCTGTGTAGCCCATGTACAGGATGGGATTTAGAGAGGCCTAGAAGAGAATGGTTGCTATGAACAAGGGAACTGGCCAAGATGTCACAGGCTGTGTAGTACTCCAAACACTGGAATATTGTCCCAGTCTAAAGAGAGAGATCTTAATAAGCCTTTCATGCATTCAAGTGAAATTCTAAAGAGGTCACACCTTAGAGTAAATACCATGCCCCAGACAAAGGGCCATGTCTCAGGACTAAGGATAAAACTGACATAGAATAAATAATAATAATAATAAACAAAACAAAGCATAGCAAGATTAAGGGGATTTTTCAGTAGTTTAATAGCCTGATAGAATAAACCGCAATACCATTTAAAAAAAGATAATGTAATCCAGACTGTCTGTAACTCCTTTACAGCAATATTCAACAGTAGGTTAAAAATATTACACATATAAAGAAGCAGAAATATGTGACTCATAATCAAAATAAGACATGGTCAATAGAAGCAGAATCCAAGATAACCCAAATGTTGGAATTTGCAGATGAGGCCTTTAAAACAGCTATTATAATTATATGTAAGGATTCATGGGAAAAGATGAATACATGATTGAATAGATGAGAAGGATTGGCAAAGAAATAAACCAAATGGATATGTTAGAAATAAAAAGCAGCTGGGTGCCGTGTCTCACGCCTGTAATCCCAGCACTTGGGAGGCTGAGGCAGGTAGATC